CTCTGGCTTAATTAGCTTATCAGGGAAAGCTGCCTAGAGATTTCTCCTTTCTCTACGGAGAGACATTCTTTCAGAAAGTAGCTTTTAGCCCCTTTCTCCAAATAGTACAAAAAAGAAATTCCTGAATAGAAACAAAACTCTGAGCTAATATAAAACTCTGAACTGAAAGAGAACCACTGTAAAGAAAGAAATGGTTCCAAAACAGTCTCATTCTCAAGAGAACTCTGATTCTATTACCTTTTAGCTTTTATGTCTTCATATACCCAACTTCTTAAAACAAGAAATTGCTCAACATGAATTTACAGTCAGTTTCACAGCCTCGAGTTTGAAGTTCTCTAATAATTTCTTCTTAGACAGACCTAACGCTATTTCTCGTTATGAAAATACTAACTTCACAACCTACCAGAAGGAGAACTTAACGTGACAAAGCAGCATCTGAGAGCACACACTCCGTGGGTTACGGCTTTGCCCCCTCCTCCCTTCTCCTGCCCACTTTGCCCTCCTCAAAGGACAGTGAAGGAAGGAAGGAAGGAAATAGAAAAGTAAAGGCGACCAATATTTGGGAGTATGACATCCATCTACCTTCCCCTGATATAATATGGGGAATATTATATCATATGATATAATATGCTTCTATACAGCATGAGAATTGTTGATTATTATAGGGTCGTGATTCCTTATCCTAAATCCTTAGTGCTAGGTATTTTTCAGGATTCAAAATATTTTACATTTTAGGGAAAAATACTGTGCCTTCTGTTACACAAGCAAGACCTTGGGCAGCACTTTGTAATCAAAGATGGATATTTCTGCAGCACAACATAGACTATAAATTGTCTCACAGCAATTCGGGCTTGGTTTTTGCCACCAAATGAGTTCACGTCAATCACGTCACATCAAAGACATAAATCATTGAATTAAAAATATTGTATGCATGGATTTCATTTTGTGTTTAGGTTTAAAACCTAAGCTGATAGCTGACAACCTCCTTTTAAAACACAAAAACTGTTTATAATCATCTTGAAAGATAGAAACTGGAACAATATTTAACCTCTAAATTTACTCTAACAATAAAACAACATAGAACTTTAAGTAAACTAGTACTTTGTCCAAGGAAATGTCAATTATTTAAATAAACATTTAAATAATATATAAAACATATTTTGTAGGTGTCTCGAATCCAACCTATTGAGAATGGTCAAGAAGAAAATTCACAGGGTGGGTCCTTTAAAGACTGTCTTGCAAGGCTCTTCAGCTGGATGGTGGGAATAAGCCACTGTGAACACCTTCAATTAAGGCAATAAACGTATGTGCGCTAGAGCGCACTGGTGTTGGAGTTGGGCTGCAAAGCTAAGGCAAATACAGAAAATGTGTCCTTCTGTGCGGGTTTCTATTGCATTCAAAAATCTGGGTACTAGATTGTTGTTATTGTTATTTTTTAATCTTTAAAATATATTACTTTTTTCACTAATTTTTTGTTCATTCATAGGAATTTAGCATTCCTTAGCCAAATAGCCCTTAATGATAATGGCTTTTTTGGTTTTCCCATCTGAAGTACTCTTTCTGCCTTTTCCCCTATTTTTGCGAAGGGAAATGGTGAGTGGCATATCTTGTCAGGTGGTAAGTCATCACCAAATTTTCATGTCATAAATAAATGACAGTTTTGTTGTAAATAACTTTTTCTAAATTACAGAATATAATTTCTATAAACGGATGTCTAGAATAAATAATAAAACAGAGATTTTCATGTAGAACTTAGAGTTTCAAAAATTGACATGTTAGATAGACTTTAGAATTTACCCGATTTAAGAATCCAAAACTATTTTTGAGAAACAAGCGTTTCTTTTTCCATGGGACCTCTGCACTCAAGGACTAGATTCAGTATTTTGCTCACTGATTTGCTGTGGACTTGATGGACACTTTCCAACAGATGGAGCAGATTCTCATCTTCAACTATTTGGCCTTAAGCTCTGTCATCTCCACTATCAGCCTCTGTATGTCTAATTGTGGAAGGCACCAGTAATTGCACTGATAAATTACATGACCACTCTCTTCTCCTGACTCTGAATTAAACTTTTGTGCATGAGTTTTTGGTTTGCCTCCTGTGTGTTTGTACTGTCATCTATTAATATGATTTAGTATTGCAGCTTAAGAATTCAGCCAGATTAAAAGGAGAAACCCCTTGTCACCTAGTTTTTCATAGGGAGTCCGTTCCTCCAGACAGGTGATCTGAAAATATTAAATGTAATTCTGGTTTTTTATATTACTGAGAAAAATGCTGATGGGGAAGTGAACACTATTGTAACTTCCTGCATAGGAATTACGTCATTTGTATATTTCAATGCTAATGTAATTTTTATAATATAGAATCATAGAGGCTTATAGATGGTAAGGACTTTAAGTAATTAGCTTGTCCTTTCTCTAGATTCCTTCAGGGAAAACTGTCCCTATGCTAGAAGAGAACTAATCTTATTTTTTAAATCCTACTGAGATAAATAATCTGTCTCCTTCATTCTCTGGTGTGGGCTCATTTGCTCTTAGACAGTGAAATTAATGAACGTCTCCCCTGTCTATATACTCCTTTCATGTACTTAGAACCCATTATTAAATTTCCCCTTAATTTTCTCTTCCCCATACACAGTCACTTCAATGTTTTATTTTCATCAGTTTATCTCTCTGCTAACCACCACCTTTCAATGATAAGCCCCGAGCAGGATCCTTCTAATTCCAGTCAAATAGGAAAAGTCATCTCAGAGGTTAAAACTGAAGTGTGATGTGACACTGAAAGGGTGCTAATCAGAAAAAAAGCAGGAGTTTCCCCAGAATCATGGGATCTAAAACTGTCATCAGTCTGGAAACAAACTGTTACCCTTGTAGTTTAACTTGGTAATGACTTCACGTAAGGAAAATGGTAATATCATCTGGAATTTGTGGGCAGTGAAAGAAAGATCTAGGAGCCACCAAAATGTGATTTTTAAATGCCAAGACTGAATCCAGGATTTCCCAGACCTCAACAGGACACTTACAGTTACACATTCAATGCCTTATTTCTAAGGTGACCTTACATCTCTGTTTGTGACAGGCCTAATTTCAGCCTGTTGCCCCTGTATTACTAGCTTTCCTTTTTCCCCCTCAATATGTCCAGGTTTAGATGATAATTTATGTGGTCGCCCTAAGGTCATTGCATATTCTTTGTCACTCTCTCCAGCTTGCACTTGTCACATGGTTTTTCCTTTGTTTCTGTTCTGCCTTGCATTGATTATCAGTGATTTGTTTCTGATACTTTCTCTGCTTTATTAAGATCTTTTAATATTTCCATTCTACCTTCCATGGTGATAGTTGTCCCCTTCAATGGATGTCTCCTAGGATCATCTTCAGCAAATTTAATGAGCCTTGTGGACACTTCATTATCTAGGTCAAGGGAACACTGACACCTAGGCCGATGGCCTTCAGAACACCATCCATTTTCTCTTCTTTTTTATTTCCTTTCCTTTCTTTCTACTGTCACTTCACACTTTTCCTACCCACCAGTTGCCACCGATTAGTCTTCAATTTATATCTCAACATCTCTCCAGCAATTACTATGTGCTAGGTCCTGTCCAGAGGTGTGACACTCCTGTCAATTTTGTACTGCAACACTGTATATCAAATTGTATTTTCTCAGTTCACAGATTTCAAGTCCCCATGGGGCCACTAGAAATAAAACTATGATGTACTGTTTCCACAGCACTTATGGCTTTTATTCAGTCCTAGTGCATTATATAACTCTGACAAGTCTTTTTTGTCCTAAAGTCATGCTTGTGCTTTTGTAAGGAAAACTCAAGAAGACAGAGACAGGCTGCTAAACTCTCCAGCATTTTCTTAATGGAAAATTAAAGTTTCTAAGGCCTTATCAGGAGTTAGTGAAAAAGTCAGTATGCTCTGCTCACTACTGATTCTTATGGATATTGTTTTTCTGTAGGTTTAAGTGGGTCAAATCTAGAAAATAATGCCCTGAGCAGTAGTCAATGATATCCTACTAGTTGTAGTTAATATGCCTAAATTCAGTGAAAGTGAATTTTAATTTCTTCACACACATTTTTAAAAATGTTTTAACTAGTTAAAACACTTTAATTTGAAAAAAGCTATATGTACGTAGAAGAAATCTCACGGCATGCATTCATTACATGAAATTCTATTTATTATCTCTTTAACTTATAAAAAGTCATACAAAAACTACCATGAAAAACATTCAAAACAGGTCATATGATGGTAAAACCCTTTGTAATGCTGCTGTTATTGTTGGGAGGCTGTCATTTATGTTAGATCTTGACGTAACCCTATATGTGGCATGATTAATTATGTCACATCGATTTTCCACTGCAATATTTCAACGGCCATGCCTGTTGCATGTCTGAATCCATTTAAATATTGGCCATTCCACAGGGTTTCTTTATATACGATTCTGTCACTTAACAAAGAATAAAGTAAAAAGGCTCTGTAAAGAATTCTGTGGTCGAGGGAAATACAAAGATTGTAGTCTGTAGTCTGGATTCATGCATCAAAAATGAAGTGTTTAAGTAGATCTTTGTCAACTAGCAAATGCCATTTCAGTCTGAGTATTTCACCACCTCATTCTATGCCATCTGTCTCACGGGGAGCAATTAATCTGAAACTCTAACATGCAGCATTAAAATTCCATTAACACTGAACAGAATATTAACGTGTCGGACATTGCGATTTTTATCTCTCCAAATCTCAGTGTTAATTTTGAATAAGGCACGTACGTATAACATTTTCATCTATTTGGTTAATTAAGAATATTGAATAAAATATATGATTAGCAGCTGAATTTATTAATAATACATAGAACTTATTTTAATAACACTCAATGTTTTTGCAACTTAAACATATACAGACTACAGTTGTATATTAGGCTGATGATTATTCGTAAAAGCACTAAATATTTTGCGAAGCCAATTTTCCCAAGACTCTGACTTTATAATTCCTTTTTCTTCTTGCAGAACCACATCACCGCCTTCGCAGAAGTCACATGATATTGAAGCAGATGGTTTTTCTCTGCATTGGACATCATCCCTTTTCACCATCCATTCATAACACCCAAAGTTTGTTTGATTACAGAAGAAGTTTATAAAGTTGTCTAATAATTTTTATAATTTTAAAATCAGTGTCAACTTCTCTGTTTCCCCCACTAGACTGTGAGCTCCTCAAGGGCAGGACTGTGTCTTTCTTCTCTGTATCCCCAGCACCTACAACAAAGCTTCGCACAAAGTAGGTGTTCAATAAAAATGTGATGACCGAATGAACAAATTAATTCTTAAATAAAACATTCGCTTTAGTTTCTCAGAGAATCACTGAGACCGTGTGAAAAGAAACCTCTACACGAGTCCTATTTGTACAAGATATCCCTCCATTTGGGGCCAGTTAAGCTTTTTAACTTTTCATATATCTAATCAGCAGTATACCATATTTCATTTGAAGTGGACTTTGAAAGTCATGGGGGTTTTTATTTTATTATTCAGCATGACATTATTTCCATTCTAACAGATTTCAGTGTGTGAAATTACTTTACTTTTAGAAAGTATGTTCTATACTAAAATAATGTTTGCACATAATATTATGCTATATTTCACTTAAAATATCATTCATACTATACATTCTAAGACTGGTGCTTCTGCTTTTGAAGGGGAAAATGCCAATTTTTACTGTAATAAGTAATGTATCATAATTAAAAATTATTTATTTGGACTTTTGTTCCTGACAATTGTGGTTTAATTGTTGACTTGTAATTTTTGGGTGCAGGCCGTGTTTAGGATAGTTTAAGTGACTAAATCCAGCAGTGACACCTATTTATTGTGCAATTTTCCATTGATAACAGTGTCTTAAGAGTGGTCAAAGGCTCCATTCTTAGGCTTTTTACTAGTCAGGATTCCACATAATTTAAATAGGAAAGAACACCTGGCAGATAATTTAAATTATATAAATGCTAGAAATATGGTTAACATATTTCACTTTGCATTTGTGTAGCACTTTATAGTTTACAAAGTATATTTTGATTTATTGTTTCATTTAATCCTCACAATAACCCAGAGTAAACATGAAGAGTATGACTTTAGTTTTATAGATGAGAAAAATGAAGCCAAGTCAGGGTCAGTAACGTGCCCAATTCCACACAACTAGTAAGAGGCAGTTAAACTTAAATTCAGGTTTTCTGACCCCAAACTTCCTTTGAAATATGCCACAGCTGCCATACCATGTTGGATGCATCAAGGCCTTTCCGAGGTCAGTGGAGTCCTGGGCAACTACCTATCTTTTAAAAAAATAAAGAGATGCCAAAATAGAATTACAAAAGCTATGCTGTATTTTAAATGTTTATCTTTTAAGAATGAACACTTTTCAAATATACGACTGTATAGTAACCTATTTATAATCATATTTTAAAATAGTGTCAAGAGTCTAGATGTGTGGTCTTTTGTGAAATCAAAACCTAAATCTGATGACTCTCCTCCCACTCTTACCCCCATGCCCTAGCCCCCTACACCATCCCGCCTCAGGAGAGCCCACAAGGGACATACCTTGCACTGAGCAAGTGGAATTAAGAATGAGATTCATAATAATATAAGGAAGATGAACTGGACCATAAGAAAACCATTATTTGTACTCCTCAACCGTAACTTTGCAATCTTTAAGGCTACCCTGAGTAGCTTTGTCTTATATGAGTAGAAGTTACTTGACTGAAATGAATCTTCCTAACCTTGACAGTACTAAAAAATGAACTTTTAATTTTCTCTGTAGTTTCAATGGAAATCAACAAATAAATATAACCAAGAATTGGCCATTAATCCCAAATAGATGTCATTTGCTCTTTTCCAACAGGTGAGTAAAAACACGTCCAGGAGGGCCCAAACCAGAAAATCCATATTTCTACAAATGTCAGACTACTATTGCAAATTCAATGCTGGTGGAAATTTAGAACATGAAAAAGCTTGGAATGCTTTGATCCTCCTTAAAGACTTTTTAGGCAATAAGAGTAATGGGCAATCACTTACTGGGAATGGAAGTGAAAAGGATGATCCTAATGTCTTAAGAGGAAAGATTACCAGTAAAACTTCCAGAGTTAGATCAGTTCTATCGGTTCTAGTATCAATTTTCCAAGGAGCCAGTTGGAATATTCTTCCTGTTGGAAGCCTTAGCTATATATGGTCATGTAAATGTTTCTTTGTACCTTGCTAAACCTGGTCTGAATGCAGGAGTTATCAATTCCTCAAAAATCCACATTTAACCCAGGATCAGAGTAAGGTCATCTCTAATATTTAAACATCATGGGCCTGAGATTGTGCAATGAATGATCATGCCATGAAGGAATTTCAAAAGAATAAAAAGATACACATGTATAAGGCAAAAAGCCAGCAAAAAGCCCTTAACCATGATGCTGTTACTGAGAATAACAAAACATACATTTAAGAAAATGTTAATTTGTAAATATTTACATATATAGTCTAGTAAAAGCAAGCAAACACATCTTTCTGATAAAGACATCTTTTTATTCTACTTACTTGGGGTCCAGATCAGTATAAATTGGTCAGCCTGAAAATTTCAGTCGTCTCTGTTTGCATGGCAGAAATTCTGCACATGTTTTATCTGATTCCTAAGATTATTTAAAAGGCTCTTTTATGTTAAAAGAGAGGTGAACCTTCTTTGACAGACTTTGTCGATTCCGCTTTTAGCTGGGCCTCTCTTTTCTCAGGATGTATCCTAGCCAAATATCTCAGTTACATCGACCATACAGTTTCCTTTGTGAAAGAGCAGTAGGGGAGGAGATAATTCTCTGCTGTGTATTGTATTTTTCAAATAAAATTTTAAAACTTTAATTTAAAAAATTAGGTTTCATTTTTAATTTTTTTCCCAGTATTAGTCCTTTCTTGGGGGTAAAGGAATAAGAATGCTGTTAAGGTGATGGAAGTCAGATTGTCAGAGTGACTGGAGACTGTTTAGAAATGAATCATGATGGCTCAGATTAGACCAGTTCTTTGGGCAGTTAAGTGATGCTCTGCATTACATGGGCCATCCTGGGATTTTATCAACCTCCTTACTTGCAAATCACAACCCCTAGAAACTATCTGGGATACTGAGCGGGTGTACAATCTACTACATAATCTATGTCTGATGTACAAGCAAGGTACTGAAAAATAGATGTAAACGATCTCATTCCCACCTCTAGGGCACGGGTTATCAAATTTTAATTGCATACTTTACAAAACTGTCCTGGACATATACCAAATGGTTCGATTTACTCCTTGCAAATGTTGATGTTCTCTCAATTTGCCAGGCATGGGCTTTCTAATGAAATTTGTGAGCTATGATTCTTTAAAAATATCAATTAAGGAAATTTTTCCAGATTTCAAGTGAATGATTCTCTTCTAAGAAGAAGAAAATATTCAAATTATTCTTTCTTGTCCCCTTCACTTCAGATGATAGCTGGTTCTTAGTCTGATAGACCTCAGGACATTGTCAAGATTTAATAAAAAAATAAATCTGTTTTCCTCACCCACCCCAGGCTTTGTAAGCCATGGGTGGGTTATAAGATCTGAATTCTAAATTCAGACTCCCATGCTCAAATCTGTGGCCTTGCTCAAAAGGACCTCCAGATGAGAAAATATAGATGAGTGGACACACAACCACCTCCAGCAAGCAGATGAAACTCAAAGTTCATGTCTCAAAGATGCCATTCTTAACAGGGGTGATCCTGATGGACACCATCATCTAGCCTATCTTCATATTATTGCATTTATTAAAGCATTTCCATTTTCATTTTGCACTGAAACACTATCACTTGTAGAAAAGGAAATTTTTTTTTCTTTTCAGGAGGGAAAAAGGGTGTATTTTTAGGTTGATATTAAAAAACAAAAAGGAAAACTTTTCCAAAATATTAAGACATTTTGAGTATTAGTCAGGTTTCCCAAAAGGTATTGCTCCTGCTCAAGAAGGCCTTTCAGCTTTCATTCATTCAGCAAACATTTATTGCATGATTCTGTACAGCAGATACTTTGCAATGTGCTGATTAGCAGCGATGAGAGAGACAGACATGGTCCCTACCCTTCCAGATTGGATAGTTCAGCAGCGCTGACACTGACGGTGCCCCAAGAGGTCTGTTTAAAGTGGGAGAATTGGCTTGGAGTTTACCAGCTACCTACTCTCAGGACTAAGCAAAGGACATTTTTATAGATTACAGCAACAGCTAAGGTTAATAAAAAAGCATTGCCTCCATAAACAGTATCATATAATTTGACTATTACTGAACTTAAAATGCCCTAAATTCAATAATGATAAGCATTTACTATCTCTTACAAGTCTGTGGATCAGCTGAGCCATTTTTCTATTCTGAGCTAGGCTCATCCATGCATCCATGATCAGGTGAGATGATTTGCTGATCTTGGCTGGACAGTCTCACATATGCGGGGTCATCTTACTGTAGGTTGATCTAAGATGGCTTCACTTGGGTCAACTGAACTTTTCTCTACACAGTCTCTCAATCTCCATCAGGGTAGCTAAGTTCCTTCACTTAGGGGCCAAGACAGAGCAGAAGCATGCAAGGCACTGGCACATTGTCACTTTCCTCTCATTCAACTGTCCAAGGCAAGTTTCAAGGCCAGCCCAGAGTCAAGGAGTGAGGAGGGAGCTGCAAGGTCACATTGCAAAGGGGTGGACACAAAGATGCATGGAAAACAAAGGCCCTTTGTGCATTCAATCTATCATAAACTCTTCCTGCAGATAAACCTTAAAAATGGTCAAGCAGTGCCCCCTGTATCGAGTTCCTCAACTTGTTGAGTATGGATTTATTCTGATAAGTATGAGAAACCCACAAATAGAAAGCAAGCTCATTGTAGCTGAGCAAGGATGGCCACCCCACCAATCACCAACTGTGCCCCCAAAATGCCTGTGTGATAAATTGGCTACAGAATTATCTATCCAGTACTTAACTGAGAGCAATGGGGAGCTTGCTGAAGTTTTCTAGGCTTTTCCAGAAAGACTTCCTAGGTCTTCTCCTATAGGAAAAAATAAAGGAAGAGGACATAAATTTATAAGTTAAGAGAGAGAGAGGGAGAGAAATAGAAAAAACACCTGAGCAGAAAGAATAGGAAAGAAATTGAAGCAAGAGAATAAAACCTGAAAAAAAAAGAATAACTAAGTTATAAGACCAGGTTATGATACATCGTGTGTGTGTGTGTGTGTGTGTGTTTGTGCAATTCTGATTTTCACAAATTCCAGTTACCAAGGTGCTATGGACCGAATATTTGTGTCTCCCAAAAATTCATATGTTGAAGCCTGAACCCCAATGTGATGGTATTTGGGGGTGGGGACTTTGGAGGTAACTAGATTACAAGGGTGGAGTCCTCATGATGTTAGTGCCCTTATAAGAAGAGACACAAGAGCTCTTGCTTCCTCTCTCTCTGCGCTCCACCATGTGAGGATACAAGAGAAGATGGGTGTCTGCAAACCAGGAAGACAGTTCTCATCAGACACCATACTACCAGCGGTTTGATCTTGGACTTTGCAGCCTCTGGACCTGTGAGAAATAAATATTTGGTGTCTAAGCCACCTACTCTATGCTATTCTATTATAGCAGCCCAAACTGACTAAGATACTTGGTTTAGTTAAATAACACCACTCCCACAACAACAGGGATCAATTTTAGTTACCGTGGTATAATAACTGTGAGTTATTGCATAAAATACAAATGTAGCTGCTGGCTCTTCAGTTCACAAATCACTATGTGAATAACACGCACATGTGCATTATAATTAGTGACCAATCGTGTCACTTTTTTAGGGTCTCCCAGTGGTCACCGCACATTTGTTAATCTGTTCATGCACAGACGGCAAAGCATGCAATTGTGTTGACTCCTCATCTCCCAGTGATGAACCCCTGTGACATTTTATAAAAATGTATAATTGAAAGAGGAAACTTACCAATGAAGATGGAAGTGCAGCAAAGAAGAAAAGGTGATAATACTGAAAATGAAATTCAAATCAAACATAAGTGGAGTTATAGAAAACTTAGCTGACCAGGAGAATGTTGACACTGTCTTCACCATCTGAGAGACTTGAGAAACGCAACCAGAATAATTTAGTGAAGGTGAGCTGATGGACGAAAATGAGTAAAGAGGTTGTGATGGAAAAGATGACGATGTCCCAGAAGAAGTGATTCAGACAAAAAACTTCACATTAAAGGAACTCTTGGAGATATTTCACAACTTTGAAAGTGCCAAAGTAAAATAAGCTGATCCAAACTTAGAAACGAAGATGACAATTAGCCAAGGCATAGAAGAAAATACTCACTTGGGACCATGGTTGAATGGTTAAGTTTGTGTGCTCCACCCTCGTGGCCCAGGGGTTCGTGGGTTTGGATCCTTGGCGTGGACCTAGCACCGCTCGTCAAGCCATGCTGAGGCTGCATCCCACATAGCACAGTTAGAAAGACCTGCAACTAGAATATACAACTATGTACCGGGGGTCTTCGGGAAGAAAAAGAAAAAAAAAGGGAAGATTGGCAACAGATGTTAGCTTAGGTGCCAACCTTTAAAAAAATAAAAATCACTCAACTCCATGTCACAAGTTATATGACAGGAAAAAGGCAGCAAGCACATTCAAGCTGCTGTTGATAAATTCTTTACGAAGAAATAAAATATTAATTCTCAATGTTTCTAATGTTTTAAATTATAGTGTACTGAGTAAATATTAGTTTTGCTATTTTTTAAATTTCCCTATACATGTAAAATTGGCAGTAAGAGAGTTTCTAATGTTTTGACAGAAAAATTTAAAGGTAACAGACTAATCTAAATTTTTCCCATTGCTTGTTAAGATCTCTGCATGGATTGAGTTTGCGTGGTTATTTTTGTGGTCCCAGACTACTGTATAAAGACTGTCTGTCTATATGTATATGCATATGTATATGTATATGCATATGTATATTTATAGGTTTGTCTATGTATAGAGAGAGAGCTGTATAGAGACCTGTCTAGAGACATATATATAAACACATAGAAAGAGTAGACATACTTACATATATATAAAATTCCTAATATATATAATATATAAAAGTTTTTTTAAAAGAAATGTTATCTATACTTCATATTGATACATAACATAAGAACTTTAGAATCTCATAATTTTTCATTATTAGATCTCTTTATTGTGATTCCTCAGTCACTTGATTTTTTTCTATGGCCAAATTAAAAAATACTGGTCTTATCAACAGATAGACACATAATTGTATCAGAGGGCTATCTCAGCTATTCAGACTACTCGTTAGAAGGAGTAGAAGGGAGATCGGGAAAAGTAATAATCCCAAGCAACTTGTGTTTGATAGTTTAGGTAATCTTTCTAAATTATATTGCACACATTCTGGCTTAGTACATAAATATACCTAATTTAACCCACTCAGTCTTTTGAACATGAATCATTTTTTGGTGCTCTAATAAAGTAAAGGTCTTGGGAGTTATGAAAAACTGTATAGGGGAGTTTGTTCCCTTGATGTAAAGAATTGTAGAAGCTATGACTGATTTGTTTTTCACTATTTACCTTCTTATGGCTTTCTCTGCCCTCTGCTGTTAATTCTATTTCCTGTCTTGAAATCTTCTCGCCTGCTTCCAGTCTGCATTGTGTTGTCACCTCAGTTTACCATAACAGAATACTCAGGTTGGGGGGCTTAAACCATAGAAATTTATTTCCTCACAGTTCTGGAGCCTGGAAGTTCAAGATCAAGGTGCCAGAAGGACCAGTGTCTAGTGCAGCCTCTCTCCTTGGGTTGCACACCCAAGTCTTCACATGAACTCTCCTTCGGGCACATGCAGGGAAAGAGAGAGCTCTGGTGTCTGCCTCTTCTCACAAAGACACCAGTTCTATTGGAGTAGGGTCCACTCTTATGATCTCATTTAACCTTATCTCCCAAAAGGCCTTCTCTCCAAAACAGTCACATCGCAGGTTAGGGCTTCAACATCTGCATTTTAGGGAAATACAATTCAGTCCATAACAGCCATGTACTGCCCTAAAATTTCATGTCCTATCATTCTGTCCTACAGAAGAACTAAAGGATGCCAATGGAACACGGATAACCATGGTGTTATTGTATGTAAAATGAAGTCAATTAGCCTGAAGTGGACTCAACTCCTCTCTAATGAAACAAAACGCGTGGGCTTTGTGGTAGAGTTTTCACTGCTGTTACTCTGACTTACTGGCTGTGCTACTGATTTCAGACGGCCCTCCATGGCTCAAATTAAAGTCATCTAATCATCACGAAAGGGGCCATGATTGTACATTTGTTGTGAGTAAATATATCTTGAAGTAGGGTATTTTTTTTTCTCACTTTTAGTAGTGAGTCAAAACATGAGATTTCTGGATGTTATCTTAAGGCATAATCCGGAATAACTCAAACAGATATCAAATAATTATGTTTGCTCTCTTAGAGAATGCTTTTAGCATATGGTTCAATGTTAACCCAGTTTTACCATAAATGAAATTTAAACCTTTGAGATCCTAAATTGCAATGAAATTCGATGCTATGAAAATTTCAGGCTCTCTTAGCTAGCTTGCTTTTTTTGTGATTCAGTGCTTTGTGTTAAGGGACATCAACTTGTATATTATACCAGATGAGCCAAATGATAGAGACCTGGAATTTTTTAAATGTGAAATTCTTAAGACATATGGTGACAGCATCTGGGATCATATCCATACCATTTCAGATGCCTTTATATTTATTCTGAATACTTGGTCCTAATCTTGAAACGCTAAAGACATATGGACATACCAGCTGGGCCACCATCAATTGAGACTCTAACACTGTTCACTTTAACAATATATATTTTTAAAAGATAACATTGCTATTTTTCAACCCTCATTTTTTTCATTATTATTAGCTCTTTCTAATTCAATAGATTTCCAGGAACATTATAATAACAGAAACAATAGTAACCTAAGTTCTCTTCTACCCGGGTTAATGTAGATGTAGTTACAGAGCTGTTATACACTATTCATACCCTGAGATAAACTCTTGGTATTTATTTTTAAATTTATGTATATATACAGATTTATATATGTATATGTATATATGCAAATTTATACATGTATATGTCTATATACATAAAATTTCATTTGGGGTAATAGACTAAGCAAGCACTTCTATTCCTATTGTTATGGATTGTATTGTGTTCTCCTAAAATTAACATGTTGAAGTCCTAACTCCAAGTATCTCAGAATGTGACCTTATTTGGAAATAGAGTAGCTGAATACATAATTAGTTAAAATAAGGTGATACTGGAGTAGAGAATCCAATATGATTGGTGTCCTTATAGAAAGGGGAAATTCGGACACACACAAACACACACAGGGAGAACACTGTGTGAAAAGGAAGACAGAGATCGAGTGATATTTTTACATGCCAGGGAACTCCAAAAATTGCCAGCAAACTAACAGAAGCTGGGTGAGAGGCATGGAACAAATTCTCCCTCACTGCCTTCAGGAGGAACCAACACTGCTGACACCTTGATTTCAGATCTCTAGTCCCTTAGAACTGTGAAACAAGAAACTTGTCTTATTTATACCACCTCATTTGTAGTACACAGCCCAAACAAACTAATACACCTATTTACTGCCTCTGGTACTCTGGAATAGTGGAAAAGCCACAGACAGAACCAGGTTTGAATCTTGGCTTCTCCACTGGCAGCTCTTTGATTTAGCCCACGCTATTCAAACTAACTAATCCTGTTATCAGTCAGGTTACAGTAGATTTTACATCAGTAACAGTCAACCTTCAAAATCAGCCCACAGTAATTATTGCTCATTTCTGGTTCACATAACGTATGCACCAAGGGGCATTTGGAGTCTCTGATCTATTTGACAGCCATCCTAAATTTAGATGCAGGCTGGCAGAGGAGATGCTATTTGAAACATAGGCATTAACTCTGGCAGAGGGGAAAGAGACCAGTGGTGAGTGTGCCTGGCTCTTAAATAGTCTACCCCAAATAGACACACATCGCTTCT